CTGAGGAATCACAATGTGGTGCAAGCCTTCCACTTACAGTTTCAGCTTTTGCCACCCACAGCTTGTTGCCAACATCGAATCTTGGTTTGTTACGGCAACCGGATTGTGCCCTTGCCTTCCTCTTCCATCGCGAATGAGTTCGGCATTACCACGCAGTCTCAACTGTTGGTAGTTGCGGGCGCGATGTTTAACAACTTATTCCCTACTCACAAGCATGTAATGCACCCCTTCTGCGATGCAGATGTTATAACTTTGTTGCTTTTGTTTCCATACTTTCATTTGTCAGTGCATGTCGATTTGCTGAGAGGGCACTATCGTTGATCAAGTGAAGCAAATCAGGTATAAAACCAACTCGAACGCCTTGATGAACTCCTTTAGGTGCTTGAATGTGGGGGTTTTGTGTGGCAGTGGATGACAGGCTATTGGTTGGTTGTTTACGTCACCTCCTCTTCCCAAATGATTGCAAGAGGTGGTCCACGAAAGTCGTGTCACATGTTTCCGTTGTCTGAAGGGCTTCCTCGTTCTGTTTCCATAGTTTAAGGCACTGAGATTTGTAAAGAGCTCAAATTCCAATCCGACTGAAAGTGGCAATCTGACTGTATGCGTCCACATCCTTGCCTTGGAAGACTCACCAGGTTCCCCTTATTTCCTAGTGAGATACTCGAGAATGGACGCGTGCATCTTACCATGAAAGAGTATACGAATGTTCTTTGGACTTGCAACATTCCCAGTCATTAAGATCATTTGCGATCACACCTCTCTAAGATGACACACAAACATGTCAGCACACTTTGAGGCGAATACGTGGCTTACCAATTGACAACACTGTACTTGATTAGAGTGCTGAGATGGGTCGTGGTGTGCTCCTCTCGTAATTTGCACATTTGAGTGTCATAAATCACATTCGTTTTGGTGATTTCACTTCTGCCTAACCCCCTACCTCTTACGCAGCGTAAGTCGCAGTCGCGATGTTTCCAAAAGCCCAACGTAGAAAACACTACATTGTAAGTCTGCATTGCTCAGCGATAGAGTAACGCACATTTGTTCGGTACCTCCGGATTGAAGTGGCATCTTTACAAAATTAATGATGTTGAGTCGAAGCCCTGCACTCCAACGCTATCGCAGTTTCCCAATTGGTGTACTCAAGTTAACAATTCAAATGAAAATGAAGATGGTAGGTGCGTGCGCACTACGCATCCACAGAGCAGACATAGGATGTGCCAACTGCTCGACATTAGTCTGCCTACACTCTCCTTTCACTACAGTCCGTGCACAGTGGCAAGAGGACACTAAGCGAAACACAGTTGTGATATCTTGTCCCACTCCAACCATTAAAGCTGTGGAGAGTGTTATCTCTCTCCTTGTGACAGTTCCTTTAGACACCACGTGCCCGGAGTTGGGAATTAGTAATAGTGGTTGTAGTGAGTGCTCGAAGGCTTTAGTCATCGCAAGAACCCTTTCCGCACATATAAAGCAATGAGTCGCATTCTTACGTGGTAAACAGAATGGCAATTTAGTTGGAAGGAGGGCGGACCACAAACGATTCCTTCACATGCACTACCAACATATGATCGTCGATTGTCACCAGTTACTTTGGCGTTGGTGTCGAAATGGGGGAAATGGAATGGAGGGAGAGTGTCATTGCTCTGCATGTGGCTGTATTTATCATTCGACTGATATATTTGCAATGGGTGGTTTGCGAGCATTGCGGAGAAGGTCTGGAAAAGCTTGATGTGGATGCGGGTGGAATCGGTGTATAGAATGCGGAATGGAGAGCATCTACTTCCTTGCCGTCAATGTCTTCATACGTCTGCAGTGAGGCGCTGCAGTGTGGGCGCGCATAACTATGCCCGTATATGCCCACGAAGCGTTCCCAAAGTGTGACCTCATGTGCGTGCATTAGGGCAGAAGCAGAAGGTAGATGGAGGCAAAATGTTATCGAAGAGGGAAGAATGCGGTGAGCTGTGCGCACTCCAATCAGGAGTTGTGTCACTGACACCGGCAGACCAGCATTCGACTCTCAGCGTATCAAGTAGACAAAAGGGAGTAGGGTTATGATTGCAGGTGGGGAGATGGAAATTTGTTGCGATGCGAGGTCCGACAACACTGCAAACAAATGCCTTCCACATGTAACGCAAGTAAGCCTTTCCCTCATAATGTCTTTTTAGCGATGGCCGTGTGCCCTCTGCTATCTGCTGGAAGGCAAGAGAGTTGGCATGGCTGATTGGATGACGCGAAGCCTACAATTGTGTGAAGGTGGTCAATCGTAATGAGGCGTTTACGTGGAATGGGCAAACTTAATGACTCCACACCAAAGCCTTCAGGGAAGAACAACCATTGCGGGATGTTCAGTGTGAAGTGCGGACTCACTGTTGCATCAGGAAGAAACGTTTAAATAGTGATAAGAAAGTGAGTGTGATGCATTAGAAGGGATATTGTGGCGAAGTGAATGCTGTCGTTTATGTCGAGCCCTGACTGTAAAATGACACAGAATTTAAGCCCTAAATGGAGACGGCGTTTGACAAAGACCCACAATTGGGCAGGTGCCTCGAAGGACGTCGGAGTGATTGTTAAGAGTTAAATTATGCACACTCAGCTATGCAAAGGCATCGCGTGCACCAATGCCAAGTCCGTATTCACGCCGTAGTGACGCGATCCCACCTTCGGGT